CAGGTTTATTGACCGTTTTTGCGAGTGGGCCGTCACTTATGGTATGTCCGACTAGAGCCTTGATGTCCTAAAAACACCAACAAACCCCTTGTCCAGGTGAAATCGTTTATGCTCCGCTACCAGGAATGGAAATGGTTATTTTAAACTCGCACGAAATCGCCCACGAACTTCTTTCCAAAAGGCTTAGTTCGACAGGTGGACGGCGTGTTGGCTACTTGGTGTCGGAGTTGTAAGATATTCCTTAGAAAATCACCTTAAATATCATCACTTACTAAACCTCCTTTTCGTCGATAACCAACCATAGGATTGGCTGGCAGTGGAGCACTTCGATAATCCAACCCGGACCACACCACTCCAACCAACGAAAATATCTTCGTCGATCCATCGGCCCACAAACAGTCAAGAGACATGACTTTCTCATCGAGTCTGAAGTTGCAAAGCTTATGACTGTGCTGAGCACGTTCCAAGGCAATCCCAGCGATACAATGCAACAGTGAGTTCTACCTCCTCGGTCTATGATGTTTCACTCATGATTTGGTGCGTGAAAATAGCTGTGTTGGACATTTTGTTTCCAAAGCCACATACGGAGATAAGATTTCGGAAGAGATGGGAGAAGACTTGTCTCACTGGAACAAAGATGCAATGGACCTTATCGACGAGGCCTTTTCGTCCGCTTGGCTCGTCGACGTTCTTCATTTTGGTGAGCACTTAGAGAAGGCAGTTATAATGGTTGGTATCTGATCAACCAATGAACAGTACGTTTCGTCCCTGATTGGGTTCCTGGACTACGCTTCAAGTTTGAGCCCTTCCTTCGTTCCCAGATAAACCGACTAATAGGACATTCATCAGGGAAATCATCCGAGAGGGAAATGAACTCTTTCCTAAAATACGATATAAGGCGTATCAACGAGGTCTAGAGCTTTATGTGGGTTTCCACTCCCTTTGTCACTTCTTCGTCCCTAAACAAATGTTAAATTCCGGATAGAAATCTGGTACTTTGGGTCACAGTATTCTCAACGATCTTTTGGAAGAATTTGGCGAGAGTGGTGATGTGCGAGACGCAACCGCGGTACTATACACAGGTAAGCACACCCCATAAGGAGTCCCAGGAATTTACTGACAGAGAAAATAGCTGCATCCGATACGGTATGTCCCCATCTCACTGGAAAAACCAATATTGACAATTATGGTGACAATGGCATAGACCACAGGAGGAATCGTCCAATTCCTTCATGTGTTGTTCTTGTTCCCGAGCGTCGCCGAGCGAGTGTTCCGGGAGATTCAATCTGTCACTCAGGGTCTTCGAATGCTCCGGATTAGTGATCGCCCACAGTTACCGTATACCGAGGCAGTATGGAAGGAATCTGTTCGCTGGCGTCCCTTTTTCCCCCTTGGTCAGCTATAATGCATCATATCCGAGACTATGGGATGGCTGATCGTTTTCTTCATCACTCTAGGTCTCCCTCATGTCAACACGCAAGATGAAATCATCAGAGGTTACTTTATTCCGAAGGGTACAATGATTCTCCAGAACACTCGGCAAGTCATTCGATCCTTCGTCTCTTAAAACTACTAAACATTTGCTCAGAATGATGTTGAATGATCCAAAGGTTTGGGGAGACCCAGAAGTGTTTAGGCCAGACCGTTTCTTGGAACCAGGGGCATCTCAGAAACCAAACCCACTTACGACCCTGTTCGGGTGGGGAATGAGGTCTGTATTCAATTGCTAGACTGGACAAGTTTAAACCTTATTTGTAGGATATGCCCTGGCATGTATCTGGCTGACCGAGTCGTGTTGCACTTGGTAGCTACGATCATCTCGCTGTACAAGGTAGAACCATTGGAAGGGCATCGACGACCTGATCCAGATAGCATCGAGTACACCCCCAAAGCTATTCAGTGGGTCTCCTGTGGTTGAGAGAACTCTTTCTGACCGAACGCTCCATCTCTAGACAGCCTATTGGCTTTGAATGTCGCTTCATTCCGAGAGACGAGAAAGCAGAAAACCTACTCAAGACAATCGTACTCAGTGGATGAATTGGTCGTGTGGCTCATTGGCCAAAACGCCTAGAATATACACAGCGGTACCAATATTCGAAGCGGACATTGCCAGAAATTGAGGTTCTTCGCGGTCTGTGTTCACCCTATTGTAGCACTTTAGCTCGTTCACTGGAGGTAAGAAGTCGGTGCTGATAAGTGCTGATTTTGCTTCGAATCATTTACACTTTTAGCTACAATATGAGATGAATTAAAATACACATAGGCGTAAACTGTACCTTTAAATTGGCGGCTACTGGGCATATGTCACAATCGTCCACTCTCTTGGCCGAAGACAAAGCAACGAAGCTTAGCCGCCACCGAATCACAATTGCATCAGATTAGGGTCGGTTCCTTTGTAAGAGCGCCCACAAATCTATGTCCATTCAACACGGGCGTTTCTCCAAATAGTTCGAGCCGGAAATTTCCAATGGCAGTATACAGACCCTGGCCAATCGAACGCAACATTGGGATGAACCCTCCAAAACCCCATCGGGATACAATGGGTGCCTCTGAAGTATACCAGTGTAGCAGATAAAATTTTAATTGAAGAGATTGGCCGTCTCTGGGCTCAAAATCCTTCAATAATGGGCCTGCTTACCCAGAGTGTACGGACCATGATCGACCATATTCGTCAAGTCTACCACGGCCAATGTAGCGTCGATTTCGTATATATAACCCCTCTTTAGACCTCATACCAATGCTTAAGTATCGCAATCTCTCAATCACTTGATCTCCATGAACTTCCTTTCTGCGATCATCGACTCCCCTACTAAAACATGTGCCACATCACTTGTTGGCGTTTTCTTGGGCTATTTTGCAATCAAAGGAGTACGTGGACTCGTCTTCGACCAAGTCGCTTCACTCTCCTACCCCCCCGGTC